GTGTGTGTGTGTGTGTGTGTGTGTGTGTGTGTGTGTGTGTGTGTGTGTGTGTGTTTGTGCATAGACGGCCGATAGAAAAAGAGAGGCGAGAGAGAGAGAGAGGCAGAGAGAGAGAGAGAGAGAGAGAAAAAGAGAGAGAGAATAAAAGTCGATGATGCCTCGGAAATCTCGACTTGAGCACTTTCGGACCGAATATATTGTATCTAGGTATTTTGTGCACTCGAAGCTATATCCGATGGTTCGACAGCATTCAATATTGAAAAGTATATATGGAAAAACTAAACACGAGCTTAAGAAATTAATGATAAATTTTGCGGTAAATCTTACGATATTGAATCGACTAATGATAACACAAATGTTATTGTGTCTTCAATAAACAGACGCGATATACTAATTGAACGTCAAAAAACTAGAAGACTAGAAGATATTATGGACGTCTTACCTACAATCCCGCTATTTTCTCTTATCCGTTACTATAATTATTAAGTATTATCGTCGATATGCTACGATCAACGTACTTAGAGTTTCCGACATCTTTCTTCTCGTTATATGTTTGAAGGTACATTACATTGTTTGCGCGATCCTTCCACTTCTCTCTGTGTTTGGGCGATACAATGGGTGATATTAATTTTGCGCGACAGAGCGGGAACACATGCTGCCGAAATCGATTTCTCGTTTGTTACGCAAACATACATAACTGCACATTTCAAATCGTTGAATCGTATCTATGGAGTTTCTTATTCAATTTTATTTTTTTCGTCAACTGACTACTCGCCAAATGGTAATTAAGATCGGTAGAGAATATAACTAGATGATCGTCGCGACAATAATTCTTTTGCTTGTCAAAGATGACATTCGAACTTACATCGACAAATCTAATGATCGTTACATTGTTTATTAGCTAACTTTTTGGTAACTAAGAATATTTTTAGACATTCATCCAGATATAACGTATAAATAATAATCTCTTGCCTCTCTCTCTCTCTCTCTCTCTGTCTCTCCCATCCTGTGTGTCTCCCCATCCCTCTTTCTCACTCTCTCGTTCTCTCTCAATCTCGATCATGTACACGGCAGATTTTACGCGAAATATCGCGAAAATTGGGCTAATTTTGACTATCGGTTATATTTCTTGAGCTTGCGCATTCTTCTTCAGATGTATTCATCAGATACTCGATATAACGATCGATCGCGCAACGCAATATTACGATAATCGTTTTTCGCGCGGTTTTACGTTACAACATCGTCCGTCGTGTCCCCTCTAAAGTCACTAAGGCTCAAAGAAACAATGATGATGAGAGCGATAAGAGTATTGAGACGTGTGTATGCATATGTGACTATATATCTCTTATGGTTAATACGCGCGCGCGTGTATTTGGTATAAGCGGTAAAAACACTCCAAGTATGGTATCGTTTACAGCGTCGCATCGCGTACAGAGAATAACGCGCGACGCAAAATATATATATATATATATATATATATATATATATATATATATATATATATATATATATATATAATGTGTAAATGTATGTATAGTAGTATATTCCATACTTTCTCGCGGAACGTTTGAGGGGGCGTGGAAAGCTAATTAACTGCTAAGTCGCTCCGCAAAGTTAGCGGAGAAGATAAAGATTAGGAGTACGTAAGAGTCTAAACGAAGCTCGGTTGATTGTTCCGGGTGGCGGCGGCGGATCTCGCCTCCTCTCCTCCCACCTCCGTCGTTTTGACATAATCTCTTTAGTTACTGTATTACGTTATCATTACATCTAAAGTTCGAGTTCTCACCTAAGATTAGTCCGAAAGAGCGTATATGTCTATGGCTGTGTGTGTGTGTGTGTGTGTGTGTGTGTGTTTGTGTGTGTGTGACGCGTGCGCGCGCGCACGCATTGGTGGGTGTATGTTTTTATACGAATAACGCGCATACGTATGTGCAATCACAAGAGTATGTCTCTCCTTTTTTCCGTCTTTTTTTTCAGTAGATTGCACATCTAGCGTTGGACGAGCCATGACCAAGGTGACTCGCACTCACCGTTCCACTTGCTCGACTACTACGTAATTTGCGTTCGTGCTATTTTCAACGAACGTGCGTCGATACGCATCGCACGCGATTCGCTTCCGCGATCTCACATGGCACCGTTCGTATCGCCGCGAATCGATGCGCTCGACTTTATACGCGGCATTACGTCACGTCTGAGTCGCCGAATGAGCTTTTTATCCTCCTCTCGACGACCTCGATGCCGCAGCTTTTCATGAAGCTTCGTGAGACGATGTCTCGCTGCGATCTTGGAAAAGTCGGAAAACTCGGCTGGCGACACCCTCTCCTCCTCCCTTTCTCCTCATTTTTTCATCCATCTATATATAGAGAGCCACAGTGTATAGTAGCATCACTTAAACTGCCCTTCTGAGCCTGTATCTGTCCTCTCGGCCTCCAAACTAATTCTTCGACGTTAGAATCGTCACAAATTCTGGAACATATACATACTCGGTAACAATGTGACGCAACGATAAAGAAAAGAGGGTGAAGAATGATCTCATAGAGTTAAACGTCAGATGAGCATTCGCATTACGTGCTTCAGCTTGTTATTCTAATTCTGTTATGTGACAAGGTGTCGCACTAACTAACCTAAATAGAAGTGTATTTACATTTAGCTCGACATGTTCTAATTATTTGTGAAAACATCTATCAGACGCGACATAACGTTAAAGTTGATGCTAAGGATAATGCCAATTTAACGAGTAGTTAGCCCTATAAATTCTACATAACCGCGCGCGTTGATATCTGCCTTGAAAAATCTTCCGATCCAACCGGTAGGTTAATATCGATTAATATCGAAATTGTTACCTTCGTAATTTACCATTCCGTCGCCATCGAGATCCGCCTCCTTGATCATATCGTCAACCTCCTCCTCCGACAATTTCTCCCCGAGATTCGTCATCACGTGTCGTAGCTCCTTCGAGGAAATTAAGCCGTCGTTGTTCTTATCGAACACCCTGATAAGAGACAATGAGGGCAATATGACTGACTTGTCTATCCCGCATCTTATCTTATATTGAAAGCAGCTTTCACCCACGGCCGACAATTGCCTCGAGGCAAATTCTCTCGCGACTCGTCGCAACTGCCAAGGACAATTATCGTCTCGGGTTTTGCCTCGAAAAGCTCATTACCGGAATGCCTCGCGAAGTTCATCCTCCCCGTCGGCACCTTTCATCTTCTTCGACATCATCTGTAGGAATTCGTTAAATTCGATGGTACCATTTCCGTCCTGATCTACTTCGTTCACCATATCGCGCAACTCCGTCTCTGAAAGAAATTATCGTGTATTTTATCGGGCAGTTCCAGCGACGTACTGGATGCACATTCTTGGTGCATTCGGGTTCAAACGACTTACCCGATGGTCTTTGACCGAGAGATCGCATGACGACCCCTAATTCCGCCATCGTAATTGTACCGTCTTCGTCTTTGTCGAAGAGCATGAATGCTTCCTTGAATTCTAAAATAATAGAGTTTTGTGATAATCGTACTGCTACTTTACTCGAGACGAGTAGCCGCTGTTAGATGTATTTCAAGTAAATTTCCATGCATGTCACATTGCGAGACCACTATGATTCATTTTTATCGTTCAATAAACGATATTCAACGCGAGAAATATGTAGCGGTTTACTTTCATCATTGATATCATATTTGCAACTTTTATCAAATACTCATCCTCCATCTCTACTTCCCTCCCCTCTAATAGTTCAGTTTCGTCAGAGCTCATCTTGCATCAATAATGACTTCGTCACTAGAGAGAATATGATAAATTCCATGTATGAAAAGAATTAATCACAATAGATACATATATGACAAAAGGTTCTTCTCTTACGTTACGACAGATTGCATAGGGTAAACTCGGATAAGATGGCCATACTTTTTTAAAATGCGAAAAAAATACATTTCTTATTGTTATTTCTTAATAGTGTTTGGCATATTACTTCACCGAAGCCTACAGTACATAATACCATCAAAGTTAAAATACTTCAGTGAAATTATTTATTACAAAAATATCAAAACATGAGTATTGGCCATTTTATCTAAATGTTTAAGACGAGATGGCCATAAGAGATAAATGACCCATACATATTTTATATTCAAGATTCTGCACCTATTATTTTATAAAATAATGAAAAAAACATAATTTGACATATTCATTTTAGTATAGGATATTTAATATATATTATTTGTAAAAAATATAATATACATATAAAACAGAAACCTTTACAAAACTTAAATTCTAAATTCAATTTTTGATCAAAACATATTGCACATAAGATTTAATTACTGTAATATTGAAAGTAATTTTTGAAAATAACGACTTTTGTTTTATAAATGTTAGAATGATAGTGGGCCATCTTACCCAAAATATGAGTGAAAGACGGTTGTAATAGTACTTATAAACAAATAGTGAAAACAAAAATAAAAATGCATGTTATATTACAATTTACATACCTACTTTATGTATCTAATGTTGATTGCGATAGCTTAACTGTAATTTATTCGACGTTACAGCAAGTTTTAGTGGATACACGAGAAATGTTACAGGTAGTCGAAAATAAAAATATAGTATAATATTCATAATCTTGCTATTTTGAAAAACGTACGCACATACACTACGACAAATATTGATTATCTTTGTGACTGATTACACAAACGCAATGTTTTGCAATTATTAGAGAAATTACAGCCTATGGCCATTTTTTCGGTATGGCCATCATATCCGAGTTTACCTTATAATTAATACGTTAATTATTTAATTATTATTCAAAAAAAGGGATGGAGGGGAAGAGAGTGCTGCATATATATGCTACATACGATATTATGAACACAAACTAGAAGTAAACAAACGGGGCGCACAGAGAAGTAGAGATTGCGAGGTAAACACAATCGATATTATATCGCGTGTCATTAGCGATGATGCATCATTGCCAATGAACCATCCAGTGCCGTATAACTATGCGCCGAATAATCATGTTCTACGAGTTTACTCATTGGGATTTCTACCGGTAGAATATATTTCATTGTTGATATCTTGATTTTCCATCTTCTATTCTTCGAATTATGTCTAATACTCTCATTTCACTAATACTCTCATCTCTTTAAATCACTCAATATCGAATGCGGTATTAAAGATTAACAAGAAAAACGGTTGAGAGGCCAGTCGTTTTACATACGTCTTTTTGTTTTAATTATATTTTACTTGCTAACTAAGACAAGTCGTGTGTAATATCTGTTCTGTAACTTCAACTATGAAATTGTGCGAACTTACCTGCTACTTGATCTTCCGTGAGCCCATATTCAGACTGAAATAAAAAAAAAAGACAAACGTTCAAATTATCTAGTATTGTATCAATTTTGTGCAGTGCACAGCCTATTAATTAATATTTATGTAATAAATACGCGTGTATCTACACGATAAAACGCTAAGCGGCGTCTAGAAAGTTCGCCGTTTAAATCTCGCGACACGTTACTCTCTTAAAATGAATCAGTGAAACATCACTGGAAACAGTGAATATACACTGATTTGCGGTTATATGTGTTACACTGAAAGTGCTTAGTGCTATACTTATAACTGATATCAATGACTATTCACTGATTCACTTTAATAAAGTACATACTTATTTTTCACAAATTTTACACAGCTTTTCATATCAAAGTGTGAAGGTATCGTTTTCAGCTTAAGTTGATTTTCTCATTTATCTCGAAAGTTCTTTAATTGAGCGTAAATATACGGTTTCACGCACGTTTAAAATGATATTTCTTGAGAATAAATCTACCCGAGTTTTTAAACTCGGTGCACATATAGAGAACACAATAATAATAGTCCATCTATTTCCTTCTTATAAGGCACATTGATCAGTTTTAATGATAGTAACTACCCTTCGATTTCTTCCATATTTCCATACAAACAATTCTGTAAAGAAAAGTTAAAGAAAAAAATATGTGTAAAATTTTGCAAAAATTTTAATCTTTGATTCGTAATTAATGAGCCCAAAAATGACCCAACTTGGATAATTTCACACAAACCAAACATTCTTTCAATAATGACCTCGGCAATACTGAATCCGACGTTTTGAATTCTGCAAAATGAATCTCTGATTCATAATCAGCGACCCCAAAACCTATGCATCGCATATTATTTTCTCCAAATTTTCTTTACAGAATTACTTATATAGAAAGAATTTACAGAATTACTTATATAAAAGAATTTGAAAAGGGTAGTTACTAAAAGCTTAAAACTGTTTAATACGTTAAATGCTAAAAGGAAAACAGATAACTATTATTTTTTGTATCCCATATGTGTGCCGAGTCTCAAAAACTCGAGTAAATTTATTCTTAATAAATTGTTTAAATTATTTAAATAAAAACTATTTTAAACATGTGTAAGATCGTATATTTGCGTACAATTTAGAAAATTTCGAAATAAGTGAAAAGATCAATTTAAGCTGGAAATGATAACAGATTCCTTCATACTTTGACATAAAAAGCAATCATCCAAAATTTGTGAAAAATCGGCGTGTAACGTTCCGCGAGGTTTATTTGTTAATCGCCAGTGAACAATTCTAGTAATGATCCTCTATGATCTTCTCTCGTACGGTGGAGAGAAGACATTGAGAAAATTTTGGCGAAATGCCCGCTAAAGACTCCGGCGCGACGAAGAAAGGTCGCGCGTGGTGAATTATTAATAATAACATGTCGCAATGTGATCGCGAGATTCGCGACATTCGCCAGACGACGAAAGCAGCGTAACTAGTCGTTCTTGCAGATTTCATCTATACACTTACGCTACGAATTTTAATCACAAAAGTTTTGAAGAGTACAAAAATCTGAAAAACGTTAAAACGTCCAGAAACGGTATAAAGTGTCGGTCGTAAAGCATCTTTTGAAATCCGTTTTATCCAAATACATAATACAAGCTACGTATGCGTGTATGTGTTATCTCACTTACACTTATCTGTCTTATTTGACCGTCTATTGTGCTGGTCAATCTACGAAGTTGTCCGTACGCGTACGAGTATTTCTTTTCTGACTCCGCCATATTCGACCGTCACACGTGAGGTTACGCGATGTACCGAAAGATACGAAAGGCAAGGTTTGCGTTTGCGAGTCTATGTACGCATTCCATTGCAGTTATCGTCGATTCGCCGTCGAACCGACGAAGTTCAACATTTCGTCTCTATTACAAACGCGCGGACGTACAAGCAACTATATCGCGCTCTTTCGCGGGAAAGAGTTCAACGTGCATTCCGATTGTATCCACGATGCGACGAAAGCCCCTTAAAAGCTACTCAAAGTCCAATTAATAGCTATGGACTACCACTGACTCCCTCAAGACTGGTATCGAGAGAGAAAGAGAACTTGGCACATCCGAAAAATCTTTGGTATCTTAACCTAAATCGCGCAATTGCTCTTCGTTTACTCGGATGTCATCAAGGATGACGTACAAGGGCCGAGAGATTTTGATGTTGAGGCTTTACCGTCGTTTGCCGATCAAACGCACACGACTCGGCCGATTACGCGGACAACACTATTCGTTGGGAACGTAATAGTTGGCTGGTTGGATGAGTAAAAATAACCGACTAGTGTGGCATAGAAAAAGACATTGGAAGCGGATGAAATTTAAGTTGAAACCAAAGTCGCGCGTTTCGACTTGTCTCTCGAGATCTTGTCTACTTCCTTCTTCTTCTATTTTCACAATCGAATGCGCGCGCGTGTACACACTTGAAAAAGAAAGAGGAAAAACGAAAGAGATCCACCGACGTAGCTTCTGGACGTTTGGTATCGCGTGTCGTACGGAGAGGACGGTCCGCCCGATGACAAAGACGCGTGTGTCCGAGAATCGAGCTTTGGCAAGCTTGATCTGTTTTTAACCAGACTAGGTCTCCTCTCTATGATTGGACGTCAGGTCCAGAGCTAATCCCTTCCTCGCTGCTCTTCCTCTTGAGCGATATCAATATAAATGAATCTTCTCTTCTCTCCCTCTCTTTCTCTCTTTTTTGCTCTCGCTCTCGCTTTAACTCTCTCGCTGTCTGCATAACGCTTTAGTAATCAATTGTAAAGGAGTTCGGTGTGGTAAAAAAAAGATCAATATTTAATTTGTTTTATTTTTACAGGTAAAACTGAGATTTATCGAAAAAAGGCAACACCGATGTTATTTACTAGATATGAGGTCTCTAATAATACTTAAAAACTGATGAGCAATATAAAAAATTAGTATTTTACCAAATCTTGCCGTATGCGTTAAATTGCCGAAGTTGAGGCGAATGGGCGTACGACATCAAGGCAAATTGACTTTAAAACTTGAATTAAAAATACATTTTGCAAAAAGGTACGATCGTAAACAAAACTCACTTATGTTTAACAATTACGTTTACGTTTAACAATCGATTTTAATTATAACTAATTTTAATTAACTATTATATTAAAAGTATAGGTTACACAAATGTAATTGTTACATATATATAAAAAATATAACAAGTAATATAAATGAAACGATATCAAAAGATTTATATTACAAATGAAGACCTTAGACAGCACAAATCTCTAAAATATATATCTTCTAGAAACATCCTAAAATAAAAAAAAGACGTCTGAAACAAGTGGAATACCTCTTCTCTTTCAAAAATCTTTAAGACATCTTTCATTCGTATGGAATATTTGTATGGGACTATATTTTATCACAATAACACAATACCAAAGTAACCAAAGTAATTAATTATATGGAAGAGAAAAAGCACGTAAAAGGAACTTTTTATGAAAAAGAAAAAGCATATCTTTAATTAATAAAAAATTCATTTATAACCTCATAATTTAGTTTAAAGCTAAATTTGACCTTGATAATTAGCCGCTGAACTGTAATATTTATCATAGCCTGAGTAAGAATAAATTTGGATAAAATTATAAATCATATACTGTACACACACATACACACACGTGCGCGTACGCTTTCTATTTTGCAATATTTGATTTCGAATTTACGTTTGGTTAGTCAATATATGTATATATCGATATAGTCAACTAGCCTCAATCTTTCTGTACACTGTACCGTATGATTTATGATTTTGATACTGTTAATAGAGACAGTAAATCCGATTTAACGAGTGTCACATACGTGCTGTATATTGTGTGGCAAAATATAGTAAGATCAAATGTTTAGCAAAAAACTAAATGGCAATTATTAATGAAAACAGTTATTACGTGCTAACAAAGATGCGAAATTGTACATGATGAGATCATCGACGATCCTGTTCGGCAAGATGTTTGATTATTCCAAAACGAAATAAGGACAATAATACGTCGTAATACGTCGAAAGCAAGGAAGAACGTTTATTTCTCTGAGCGATGGATCGCATATCTCAACGATACAAGCCGCATAACGATTGCCGCACGACAATGTTATGTGGCGCGTACTAGCTGAACGCGTACAACTTATCGATCGCGCATCGTCTCTATACGTTCAACTGGGTCAGATCGTAGCGTATTTATTAGCAATGTGCACACGCGTTATGACAAGTTGACAAAAGCGTTTCTCGACGCGATTCGATCGGACATTCGCGTCAGCTCCTACAAACAACGGTGTAATTGGGCGGTGATCGAGCGGGTCGAGTCTGGGAGTGACTTTACGGCGCGATAAATAATCAAGCATAATTAGTCAGTCGCGGACCTTCTTCTCTTCAATCCAATCGATTTCGACTCCCGTCAAAATGGATGCCCGCGAGAGACATTAACTGTCTCATTTTAATCATACAATCTGGTGACTCGATTAGTTTTAAGCTCCTGATGTGACGGACGATGTACTTACTCGATAACGACGCTTACCAGATTAATGGTGACGATAAGATCGTACTGCTGTCGTTGGCCTTTCTTTTTGTTCTTGCCGGTTTTCACGGAGGCCGCCTTGGGTGTCACTTTCACTTGGCCTTTCTGAGCCGACGGCTTCTGGGTCGATTTTGTCGCACCCTTAGCGCCTGGCGCAACCTTTTGACCGGCCGCCGGCGCTTTTTGACCGGAAGCACCTTTTTGATTCACATGACCAACACCATCCGCCGGTTTGTTGCGTGCCTGCAGTTGAGGAGAGACAAAATTTCCATTAGACACGCACTAGTATGAGAGAAACTTTTCAATTAATGATGTAATCCAACGGATGTAAGACGAAATATGTAAGCAATAGGCGACGCTTGTGATCATTGTACATCACATCGATGACATATCAGGAATGTGTCGATGGAATTCATTTCTTTATCTTAGTCTATTTATTTCTCTTCTCCTCGTTGAAAAATTGGACGAACAATTAGACGAATTATCGATACTAAATTACGAGTTGGCGGGAGAGAGTCCGTTTCGTCTCGTTTAACTCGTTTAAATGTATCGTGTAACGACTGTTTGCTCACCTATTAAGACGTTGCTTCAAATACTCGGGTAAAGAGACACTACCTGCATCATGTGACTAATGTTAACAAGATAATTATTCATTATCTTACTATGCGTTTGGTGTGGTCCAGTGAACGAAACCCGGAACCTAGATACGCACACAGATCACGATCGGTGAATGTGATCATCCGACACGAGATTCATCGGTTTCTCCCTTCATAAGATCTCGACAATACGTTCTTCGCAAATTATCAACATGCTAAAATGGCATGCTTCTCGAGGCAATGTTGCGCGCTCGACATATTAAAGAAATTGTGAGAGTTAAAAGTACATAAAAAATGAATTTACTGCGTCGACGGATATATACATCGTCGTAATCCGTATGTAATTGCCAAAGCGCAAAATGGGGAAATCTCTACCCCAGAATGCTTTTCTACTCATTTACAAACTGATTCTAAAGCACAATCTACAACACGATACGTGCAATGTCAAATATATCATCATACACTTCCGACGACGCGCTCGACTCTAAAAAAAAAAGAAAGAGTAGCTAGAATAGTTAGAAAATACTGGAGACTCGCGTCCTCGTTTCGATAGGACTCCGACGTGTGTGTGTGTGTGTGTGTGTGTGTGTGTATGTGTGCGCGCGCGCCTGTGTGTGTATGTGTGTGTCTCCCTGATATAACATTCGAATCGTCGTTGTCGCTCGCATGAAATTCGTGTGGAAATACGGAAAACGCGCGGTACATCGTATCGATTGGAGTAGCACATCGAGAACACGATCGTTTGTCGCGCGTGCGTAACATCACTATGAACGGATTACGATCGCGTGGCTGTGTATCAAAAGCGTGCATCCGTATATTGAAACAAACACGAGAGTTTATCGCACGCAGCCAGTAACGACATCGCTTTACATCGAGAAACGTGAATCTAACGCGATTCGCGCGACGTAACCAAGTTCCGCGCGTTTGCCTACATTAGCTACGTATTCGGATGCATTCTGTAATCTTTCACTATGCTCCCTCCTGAAACGCGTCTCAACTTCCTCGTCAAAGCTGTACAGGTCCGCTCGGAAAACATCCGATGCTGAGATGAATTTTCACACGCACGCTTTCTGATCTTCCTAGTCAAGATAGCTAGAGAGATAAGCGTTTGATAATTCTTTCATTAAGATCCCTCGGTTCGACTATTTGGTCGATCAAGTCCCGTAATCAAGTCGCGAGAGCGGAACCGCGGCGCTTAATCGATAACTAAAGAAGTCAATAGACTATACATAACCCATCCGTGCGGCAAGTGGCGCTTGGCTCGCGCTAAGGGTCAAGACCATTCGGTGTCTCTCGTTTTACGAACACGTCGACGTATACGTTTCTCCTTCTCCCTGTGGTCGCGAGCTCGCGGTAGCTACGCCCCTCAAGGGAACAAATTAATAACGATCGCCGATGGGAGATTACGAAAGTTCCACTCGCGGGATTTGTGAGGAGAAGAGAAGGGAAGGGAAAAATATGAGAGCGGGCTGTAGAGGCGAGTGAGGGGGAGAGGTAGAGGGGTTACTTTCGCCCGGTCGATTAGAACGAATAGCGCGTGCATCGTGTCCATTTATCGTCCATACGCCATCAGCGCATAGTGCCGGTTACGTGTGATTCGTGTGGGCGGAAATACAGATTTAGGTCGCTGACTGCGGCCGTTTTACGTCTCTGCGAATCTTGTCTTCGTGGAGGCCTAGCCCGCCTGTTTTAACGTCTAGGCAGAATCCTGGGTGACCCCCAAGGTTTATATTCGACGCGGCTATGTGGTGATTGCGATACCGGTCGAAATACCGGACGAAATGTAAAATAGGAGACATATTGGGGAAAACGAAAGCGAATGTATCACTTTCGGAGCTTCGACCGCTTCTATTCTACTGACAGTTTAGACAGATAAACAAATATATGACACAGATGTTTACGATCGATATCCGGTCGATACGTTTGACCACTACTCTCCTCATTCGTCAAACTCATTAGTTCCTTGTATTATCGTCAGAGTGCAATTCTGTAACATTGTTGCGAGCTTGAAAACTTGAAAAAAGAAAAGGAAACGAATACTGTTTTTAGGACGCGCGTGCAAGACATTGTTAACCTAATTGAAAGGGAAACAGCGGACGGAGCGGAGTTCGTAAAACGAAGTCGCGTGCCGCACATTGTGTGGGTGTTAATCTAGAACATTACCTGCTCGGACTGTTACGATATGCGCGCCATTTGCACTTTCGGCATTGCAGCTAAGGCCTGTCACTTGCTCTTTATCGCATAAATTATGTACTCTTTAGAAGAATGTTCAACGTTGTAGAGCATTGACTGTTATAGATATCGTCCTGCTGAAACTGCGAGAAGCATGCAATTTATCTCATTCTATCTCCGTACAATCAACTGATCGATATCATTATGCTTCCGTATTAATGACATCCAGATCTTTGATTTTCGAAGATGAGATATTTGAGGAGAGATTAGTAGTGCGTTGACGCGGATTTTCTATCCCCGATATGAGAGAGAAATGTTGCCTACAAAATATACACTATGTAAAAGGCATCTAATATAGTGATTACTTGACTATGAACATCAATGGTCCGTCAAATATATCGCGTTACGAGTAACCACAATGACATTGGGTATTTCTCGCGCAAGTGTGCGAATGAATCGAAAGCTAAATTGTCGCATCGATAGTCTGTTCGTTAGTTTACAAGTGAGACGGACTCTCTTTCGGCGCGCCCTTTCTTACATATCTATACAAAGTAAAAGTAGCTCGAGTAGAATGTGTATCAAGTCGTTCGCAAGTCGACCTATATTCCTATCCCACATCGGTTTGTCAAGAAACCACTAATAGATTAGTACTCGATCCTCAGGTAGATCGAGCAGGCAACGTCCGCTTTGAAATCTCAAATGTGTTGCGAACACATTACATCCGGCGAATTCGATGAAAAATAAATCTAGCCAGCGGTCCATCAATGAATCGTACAAATATTTCGGTTCGCGCAACC